ACACTCTCAGGATAATACTTCCTCAAAAATTCAGCACGAAATAAATCCCAAGTTATATCCTCGTCATCTACTTCAAGCACTTGTCTCATACCGATCCACCAGTCATCGGCTTCTTCCCGTAACATGTGAGATCCAAGTCTCACCTTATTGACTTCAGCATAGTTCATAACTCTAAAGATCCTCTCGATCTCCTTCAACCAAATCTGGGCACCATCCGGGTCAAACCTTCCTTTGAACACTGGCGGCTGGTTCTTTCTAAACTCATCATTAGCGTTCACATTCGGCGCACCCTGCACCGCTCTAGCCATCGCCTCCAATGCCGCAGCCATAGCATTGTCATTGCGACCTGCCATATTCTGATTACTCGCAAAATAACAACAAGGTTAAACAACCGTTAACCAATCAAAACAGCGAGACAGACACAACTGACTCAACACTGGCTCTGATACCACTTAATGTAACACCCCCTTTCTATACCCCCAAATAAAACAAATAATCATTTAGGCATAAATTCAAAATTTCATCAGAGTACATTTATATCATGGCATAAAAGGGGCATATCACATTATACCAAAAATTCAACACATACAACACCTGCTCAACAGATATGCAACATCGGGGCAACACCCACAAGAAAATATTTAGAACAAAGGCGGAAACATCCAAATATTTCATAATCTCCAAAACATGATTTCGCATATACAATTATCATTCACCATGTTTACAAAACATATCATCAGCAGATACAAACATAGATGTATCACAAAAGAATCAAAATAATCCCTAGCTACCCGGTGCTACATATCAGAGTCGACCGACCAAAAAGGGATGAAGCCACGCTTCACAAAAGATCTCCAACAATCTAATCTGCAATGCCTCATAGAGCATTATAAAACAGCAGAAGGGTGAGAAACAATATCATAACAGTTAATGCATAAAATTGTATATATACATATACTCATATTTGTACAAGTTATACTCAAATTATGTTCTCACCACATTAAGCATATACAATTAATCATGCCTCTACACATGCTCATGAACATTCACTATATGTTCCTCCAAACAATCATATATAACATACACAGTTACATTCATACAACTAATGCATCATACACAGATGACTCATGCAACTCATAGAGACCGACACACGACTCTATGCAGATGCAAATGCGGTACCGACTCATTTCAACAGATTCTCTAAGGAATCGAGTATTCAGCAGATTCTCCATGGAATCAAGTATTCAGCAGATTCTCCACGGAATCAAATATTCATCAGATTCTCCACGGAATCGAATATTCAGCAGATTCTCCACGGAATCAAATACTCTGCAGATTCTCCATGGAATCAAATACTCTAGTCAATCCTCCAAGGGATTACATGTTATGACCGATTCTCCGAGGAATCACACAATGCAACCGATTCTCCAAGGAATCACACAATGCAACCGATTCTCCAAGGAATCACACAATGCAACCGATTCTCCAAGGAATCTAATGTAACCATCGTATCATACGAGGTTCTGCAAATCCTCCGAGGGATCATTCAACACAAAAATGCATACTAAGATGCTACACAATGCTAATCCTCCGAGGGATCGATCAACACAGAATGCATACTATGTTCACAAACATACTCATTGCATTTATCACATACATCGCATATATCTATCATGCATTCACATTATGCACCATTTCACACATGATTCACACACATATCAGCCTATCAATACGTTTCTATCCAATTCAAGCAAATACACAAGATTATCAAACGTTCAAGATTCACCATTGACTCTACAATCTAGGATTCACGCCTTTCGGCCACCCACAGCACGACATGTCGAAACAGTTCACACATCAATCATTCATATAGGCATTAATCATAATTGAATCGGCCAAAAATCATGCTATGAATAAACAGCAAAACAAATAACACTGTCAGGTTCGCCAACCTTCGCCTGGCGAAGCCACGCAGCGAATGCTCGCTGGCCTTCGCCTGGCGAACTTCCCAGCGAAGTCCACTGGGAGTAATTCTTGAATTACTCGCTGAGGCTCGCTACACACTCGCCTGGCGAACCTTCGCCTACTCACTTCGCCTGGCGAACCTGCCAGCGAAGACAGGGTGTTAGCTTCTGACTTGCTTCGCTACAGCTCGCTGGACTTCGCTTGGCGAAGCTTCGCTGCCATTCGCCTGGCGAGCCTGCGAAGACAGAACTTCCATGGCTGTCTCAAGAGCCCAAACTCCACAAAATCAACCGATTAAATCCAAACCAGTCTCAGGGGCACAACCCTACCATCACCCGACTAAACTACATCGTCTAATCCGAGTTCTAACCGATTAAAACCTCTTTCTACTCATCAAACCAACTTCTAACCTAAGTGGGAAAAAGAGTAGAAACTCTACAAAATCCAAACACATACACATACAATCATATATATTAAAGAGATGATGAAGTTTCACACCCTTACCTGATTAATCGCAAGCTAGGGTTTGATCTTGATGTTTTCCAAAGTTTCCTCTTCTTTCTCTCCTCTTTCTCTTCTCCTTCTTTCTTTCTCTTTTCTTTTTCCTTCCTTTCTTACTATCTTTCTTTCTCTTTTATTTCCTCTTTAATATCTTCCTATTATTTTTCCCAAAAAATCTATTAACTTAATAACTCATAAAATATCCAACTTATCACTTAAATAGGAAATGTCCAAAATACCCTCCAACTATTTTCTCCGACAACTCCCAAAATCGGGTAAAATAGAATAATATGTAAACATAACATATTTCCACAAAAATTACACATCAAAATAATATTCGCCCAATTAAACCAAAAAGGACTCAACGAAAAAGGAATAGTCGAAATCGGGGCGTTACAGCTACTATTGTTGTCTCGCAGCTTGCTGTTACTGCATTGTCCTTCCGTGATCATGACCAAGAGTGTATTCTCTTCATCAAATTCTTGTCTTACAACTTTGAATTCATCTCCTTGAGGTTCCTTCTTGTTCTCATTGCATTCTCTCGCAAAATTACCAAACCTTTGACATTTAAAGCATTGCTCTTTGCTTTTGTCAAAATTCTTCTTTTTACCTCTAAAATTGCTTTGACCATCATTTTTGTTGCAAGTGCTCTCACCCATTTGATAAGTCAAATTCTTGCAATTTTAGAACTTTCTTCCACCAAAATTATGTAAATTCTCTTTACTCTTTATGAGTCATTTTTCTTTCGATCTCTTGCCCTTCTCGTTGAAGCGATTTTGTAAAACGATCTCCGCCTTTTCCTTATCATTATTTCTCTCCTTCATCCTTTGCTCATGAGCCTCAAGAGATATTTGCAGCTTCTCTTTGCTCATCATTGCAAGATCCTTCGATTCTCCAACCGCTACAACCATGTTGTCAAATATTGGTGTTAAAGAACACAAGATTTTCGCAAAAACATACTGCTCCATGACTATTTCTCCACATGCTTTCACTTGATTCACCAACCGAGTGATTCTCGTTGTGAAATCGTTGATTGTCTCATTTTTCTTCCATTTGAATCAGTTCAAGTTGACGCTTGTGAGTTTCTAACCTCACCACTTCGCCTTGCCAGCCCCTGCATATGCTTTCTCTAAGATTTCCCACGCTTACTTTGATGATTCACAATCACCAACTTTCTCAAAGTTGTCACCATCCACACATTGATGGATAAAAATAGCGTCTTGAAATCTTTCTTCATATCTTCCTTATGCGTTGCTCGCTATGCATTTGTTGCACATTTAACAAGAGGATTCATCCAATTTTTGATTACTTCAATAACATTTTAGTAGACAGACAACACTTTCATTTATTTGCACCATTTGTCGTAATTCTTCACATTAAGGATAAGTAGGTTTACAGAGATTCTTTTATTGGAGACAGTATTCATGTTGCACACTAGACGTTTGTAGATCAGAATCAATCTTTTGATACCAACGATTGAAACTTGGAAGTGATTACACTTCATATTAATCGGTTGCTAACACTTGAATTACTCAAAATATTTAACCATTAGTTTAATCTTAAAAAAATCTATTGCTATTTTGTGTCTGTGTGGACCTATAGCTATGGTTGTCCTTTGTTTCTTACTACTGTGAGTTTTAAAATGAAAATTGGTTTTTTTCTAGTGGTAAACTACCCACTAAAGTGCACATTGTGGTAAATGCCAATACATACAGCATCATCTTCCACTTTTTATCCCTCTATTATATTAAGTATCCACTTAGATATCAATATCAATTTTATACTAAATTATAGTATAATAAATTTATACTGACAATAATAAAATAATAAAATAATAATAACACCTATTTCAACTAATTCAACAAGAGCCTCTGTATTGTTTAGTAATTAGTACAAGTGTATAACTGTACAATATTGATGAATAACTAACATGTCCTAAATATTCTCCACTTGATGCATGTGGATATCATATGTATCAAATATAGTATCTTACAAAATTCACCTGCCAAAGTATATATCTGAATCCTGTACAACAACTCTAACCTTCCACATGTGTAATTAACTTGTTCATCTTAGCATCCCCCTTGTCTGCAATAAGATAATGGAAATTAGAAGTCCCTTCAATTCAATCCTAATGTATGTATATATTATACACATAACAAATAGTTTAAAGTAACAATTACCTTATGAATATATGTTTCAATTACACCAAACCAACAAAGATATGGGAATATTTTTACATGCAAATTTATATTATTTCTAAGTTTGGCCTAAATATGATACAGACACTTTCGGACATTAATACATATCAAACACCCTTTCAATCAGAAGTGTTAATGTTCCAAATTTACCACTAATATTATTAGCATACATGCAAAAGAAAAATGATAGTGTAAAATCATATAAACTTTTATAGAAAAGTTATTTGAAGGGCAAAATGACTTCTAAACAGCTTATTGACAGCAGTGCATAAGTTTTACTTTTACCATCTAAAAATCTAAGTCCTCACAAAAAGAAAAGGAAAATCTTAGAACCTAAGAAGAAGTAGATGTAGAAGAACCGCTAACCCATTTGTCAGCAACAGAATCTGGTGAAGCTGGATAAGGGCCCTTCTTCAAAAGTACAAGTTCATCTGTTCTAACAACAACATCCAATACTTTTGATTCCTGTGTTTCAAGTTCATCACTCTGGATTGCTCTCAATACCTCCACAACCTCGTCCATTGAAGGTCTCATGTCTCTTTGCTGCTGCAAACATCTAAATGCCAATTCACCGACTGCGGTTGTCATTCTCCTCACAGCACTGTCTTTTTCATATCCAAGAAATGGATCAACCAACTCATGCAATTCTTGGCTCTGAATCTTGTTGACAACCATAGTCGCCAAGTTCACGTCGCTGCGGTGCCTGGTAATATCCACAGCTTGTAACGAGGATATAAGCTCGGCTAAGACTACGCCAAAGCTATAAACATCGCTCTTGTCAGTGAGTTGGTAAGACTGGTAATACTCAGGATCAACGTAACCAGGTGTTCCTTGTGGAGCTGTTGATACATGTGTGACTTCGCTTGGAAGCCACCTTGACAGACCGAAATCAGCGACCTTAACATGAAATTTTTCGTCTAGGAGGATGTTGTTGGATTTAACGTCGCGGTGTATGACATCTGATGCATGGAGATAGGCTAGTGCTTCAGCTGTTTCTAGTGCAATGTTCAATCTTACAGACCAAGGAAGTAAACACGAGCTTGATTGCTTCCCGTGAATATGATCAGCTACTGTTCCATTTGGTATGTATTCATAAACAAGGAGAAGCTCTCTGCTGTGTTTAGAGGAGCATCCATAGAGTGTAACAAGGTTCTTATGCCTTAACTTCGCTAGAATCTCAACTTCATTCATGAACTGCGCCACACGTTTAAAATTGCTTTCGTAATGGCGTTTCACTGCAACCACACGTCCATCTTTGAGATCACCTGATCAACAATCAGAAGATATATAGTTTAGAAAGAAAATCCGATAGCAAGAGGAAATCATTTCTGTGAGAAATGTTAATTACCTTTATAAACTGTGCCAAAACCTCCATCTCCAAGTTCTTTAGAGGCGTCGAAATTGTTGGTAGCTTCTTCTAGCTCATCATAGGTAAAAACCTTAACACCAAAGTAGAAACTCTTCGGCATTGCGTCCGATTTGGGAGAGGGGTAAGAAGGAATACTCTGAGACGAATTAGTAGTGGAGGTTAGAGTGCCAGTGCCAGTGTCACTGCTTGAAGTAGGCATGAAGGGGACCCTGCTTCTAGATTTCTCAATACTTTTCTTTCTTCTCCGCACCACTAACCATGCAAAGCCAAGAATACAAACAAGGGCTGCAATGCCTCCAACTATGCCGCCTGAAGATAACACTAGACATCAGTAAAATTTTACTTCTAAAATCTAAACTCAATACATCTATGATCTATCAGATAAATGGGAATTACCTATTACAGGGCCAATGTTAGAGCCTTTACCTGTAACATAAAAAGTTGATGTCAGAACAAAGAATCAGACAAGGATCGAAAAGGCTTGGAACAAAACTAGCGGGAAAGTTTAATGTTCTGTTGTTTCAATAACAATAGAACATCTTAAGTCTAGTTAGTCCACACTACTACAACACAGCATCTGAAATTTTCGATATAAGAACAAATCATCTTTAAGATCATGGTTTTAAATTGATGTGTACGACTTGAAGGTAAAGATTCATCTGCAATTTTTCACTTTGCAAACAGGACAAACACAAGAATCATTCTTAAAACCATTAGGTTTACATGACATAAGAATCATCATCAAACACCAAACACAAGAATCAACCAAAAGGAAAAGCTAGAATACCTGAAGGACACAACTCATTACCACAAATACAAATGGATTCATTATCATCAGAATCAAATCCACATTGTTGGCCACCAGAATCAATACATTCAAAACAATCATCATCAAAAGGATTGCTATAACTCACATTAAACCCTTTCATCAAAACCTCTCTAAGCAAAGAGCGATTTCCTATAAACCTATTAGCCTGCTCTACAAGAATTGGCACTCCAACACCTTCATCACATTCAACAAATCTAAGAACTGGGTCCAAAGGAAATGGACCAATCAGAGAATATGAGTTATTCTTATACCCATTACTCTCACAGTAAAACAAATTCTCTGGCACTTTGGTAAATTCTGAAGTGGGTTTGCACCCATAAAACAAAGTAAGGTTACGGTTTCCCGAACCGTAGCTAAAGCTAGTTCCATCAAAAGTTGAGCTAATATAATTTTTGGTACACGTTTCGTTCCAAAGGTCTAATCTAGCTAAGGTGAGAGAATGAGTTACTGAGTTGATTTGAAGAACTCGGTAACTCAATGAAGAAATGTTCAACTCTGGAACATTGTTATTGCAGTTCAAGTGAAACTGTGGTGGCCCACAGAAGGAAGGACGATCGCCGCCGGTGAAAGGGTAGGAAAGGTTGGTTATTGTTCCGCAGTTGAAGGTGGTGTTGTTGCAGCTAGACAGTGATACATGAGAAGGTAACGAAGTTGTATTGTGAAGAGAGAAGAAGAAGAAGAAGATGATGATGATAGTGGTGACAGGAGAGGAGAGGGACAAAGACAACATAGTTTGTTGTTCCTTAATTTGTGTTTTGATGAAACTTGCAACCATAAAAGAGTTGTTACTTGTTGGATTAAGTGTTATTATGATTATGATATGAGTAATGAAAAAGAAAAGAAAACATGAAGATGAATTTTGTTGACTAAGATGTCATGTGAAGAATATATTATCTCTAGATTGATATATTTAAGCTTAATTTAGAAGCCAAATGAGTGTTTTTCTTATATTATTTTATGGTCAAATAACAGTAACTGTACTCATTTGGTTGAATGGAGGCTATTCAAAATCTAGGACTACATGGTTGAAAAGTTTTGGTCAATATAGAACACATGGTTTTGAAGTTTTAGGCAGGTTCACATGGTGGAATTTGTCTGCTTGATTTTTACCTATTTCTAGAGGAAGGAACAATTTGACATTACTAATCTTAATTCTGATGCTATCGACAAAAATATGAGATTTCGATGTAATTTTGCAAGAAAATTTTTCATGTGACTATACTACAGGTACTTACCTGATCTACATGAATGTGGAAAGGATCCATCTTTACAAAAGCATGTGAAATCCTTTGAGCTTGGATCATAACCACAGTGTCCACTAGAGCTTTGACACTCATGACACAAACTATTATTCACATTCCATTCCACTTCAAAACCATTATCAATAGCACCCTTTAAATTCTCCACACTTGAATTTGTCACTACCTTTTCAGCTTCTGACTCCAAAATTGGAACAATCACTCTAGATTTGCATGTTCCAATTGATTTAGAAACTGAACTCTCACCGTTCTCAAGATTACTCTCCAACAAAAAATAGTTAACCATTTGAGTTCCATTTATACTACAATTAAACTGGGGAGAAAAACTATCTGGTAGAGTAAATGGAGTGTAAGAACAATCATAGTAGAGTGTCAGGTTCCGGGAATCCGAACCGTAATCAAAGAAAGTTCGACCTAACGTTGTGTTCTTACGATTGGTTGGACAAACGTTGTTCCAGTAATCAGTTCTTACAACTTTGAGTGTATGAACAGAATCAACGACTTCAAGAATTCTATAATTTTGTGCCATGATGGTAATGGTTGCAAATTCATCGTTGCATTGTAGCTCAAAATTCGGGTGGCCACAGTACTGCGGCCTACTCGACCTCCAGAAAGGATATGTCAAGTTTTTTATATTTGCACAATCAAATGAAGAACTGCATTTTTCGTACTGCTGCAGGTCGTCAGCATTAGATGTTGGGATTTGATTTAGGATGATTGTTGAGAACAAGAATGAGAAAAAGATGCTTGGATGAAGAAATTGCATCTTTAGGAAAAAAAAAACACAGAACTTTGAGGTAAGTTGATGTGAGATTCTGATGAGTTTTAATGATGCAAATGAAAATTTAGGTCACCTATATAGTAATAGTATGTGTAGTTTTTTTCTATAGGAAAATAGTATTTATTTTACCTAACACTAATTGAAATGAGAGAAATTGTATGAGTGGATGGTTGGAGTAAAAGAATTACGTTTAGAAAATTATGAAGTTGGTGTTTAACTACTCTAAACTACTCAAGCCTACTTAATAGTTTTGATTCATGAATTGATCAAAAGTCAAAAGTGGTGTGATATGTTTCAACTTTCAACCAACAATAAAATAAAAGAAGCAAAAATATATTTGTGATCATTTTCTTTGATATGGATGGTGACAAAAATAATAGAAGAATTACTAAGTATTGGAATTGGACCAAGTAAAAGTCTAGGCTTTGTACAAAGATGTGAAAAGGTAATGGTTATGTGAAAAAAATATGCAGGAAATTGTCATAGAGGAGAACTTTGCATATCCAAAAAGAAAAGGCAAACACTCCGTGAAGAATTAGCAGCAATTGAGTTATTTTTAATTTAACAACCGAATTTGTGCAAGTGACACATGTGTTCATATTTTGTTCATGCCAAACCTAAAATGTATAAATTTTGTTTACTAGTGGTAGAAACAAACAAACTAAGATAAGTGGTAGAGAAAGCCAACTAAATTGATTTAGTTGTAAATAATTCCGCTCATATTTTGCAAAGAACTAAGTTCAAATTGGACTATATGCAAGAACTTTGTTGGTAGGTAAAATATAAGAGATGAATCTTAGTAAAACATGCATGATCTTTAAGTTTTCTCAATGAGCTCTCCGAATCGATTTAAAACATTGAGCTTTCAAAGAAGGAAAAAAAGAGCGGAGAAAGTGATATTATAGACATACTTGAGGTCGGGAGCACTGGTGAATCGCATGAAGTTGCGTGAGCTCCATCATCGCAGAAACATCTGAATTGAGTATCTCCATTTCCACACGCTCCACCAGAAGCTACACAACTCTGGCACTCCGAATAATTTCCAGTCCATTTCAAATCAAAACCTTTTTGTAAGGAATCTTGTAATACATCACCGAGTATTCCAATTCCAGATCCCAGTTGCGCAGCTAGGTTTCCCAGAATTGGAATCACGACCTTGCGAGTTGGAGTGCAGGCAGGGAATGAAGCAGAATAAACAACAGTGAAGACAACATATTTACTTTGGCCGCAGCCAATATCATAAAAGGGATTCGGTAAAGTTCCAGGTACAACATTGCAACCGTATAAGAGAGTCAAGTTAGCAAACTCATTACTGTTAAGTTGAAATTGAGTGTATTCAAATGAGCTTCTCTCGATATTAGTATCCACAGCACAAACATTACGACTTGCGTAATCGTCCCTAGCGACAGTGAGTTTCTGTGTCGTATTCTCCCACTCAAGAATACGATACTTAACACTATTAATTGTGATCTTTGAAAGTTTATTTTCGCATGTAAGCTCCGTATTAATACCATCAGCAACACCACCACAATAACTTTCTCTGTTTCCTCCCCAGAACGGATACTTGAGGTCTTTCGTATTGTCTTCACAGGAAAAAGCTGTGTTACAGTTCATGTACTCATCATCCTCGCATAGACACGTTGGAATATTTATGACGAAGATCATCAAAAGTGACACAGAGAAAAAGCAAAAAGAAGATGAATGAAACAGAGGTTTCATTCTTGCAGCCGAAGATAAAAGAAGGACAGAAGTAGAAGAATGAAATAGGCTTGGTTGAAATGAGGCAGAGCAAACAGGAATATATAAATTAAAGAATGAAATAATTAAACTACTCGTTTATAAAATTATAGACGAAAAAGATAGAGTATATATATTAAATAATAACCAAGTCGTGTTTCACTTTTTCAAAGGGTAGAAATTTTAAATTTAAAGAGTTCATTCAACTTCTAGGAAACAGCAATTGCAGAATTTTTATTACCTCAGCACAAACCAGTATTCTATATTTCAGGTCTGTCTGATTTCAAACTTCCATGCTTCCAGAAGGGTAGTGGCCCATTGTTGACTACGTATTTTATTAGTCTATTCAGAAATTGATCAAGAGCGTGGAATACGTGTTTACTACAGTAAATATCTTAATTCTTCATGTAGATATTTATGTGTATATAATAATATGGAAAAAATGTTTAATAGACACCAATTTTCTCCACACCCAGAATTCCAAATTTATTGCATATAAAACAAGAGCCATGCTGCTAAAATTAAATAAAAATGACGCAATTGCTTGGACAACTATATCATTCTGCCATAAGCTGCTGAATTCAGTTTTGCGCTGATTTCAATGCTGATTAAAAGTAGGTGTATTAGTACTAAAAAATAATCTCACTTTCTTTTCACATAGCATCTTCGGACTTTAAATCAATAAATTTAAATATATTTATGAGTTAAATATGTTTGTGGTTCTAGATATCTTAAATTTTGATTTTAGTCCGTCAAAATATTTTTTTTGAAGAATTTTTTTTTTAATTTTTCATCTACATTTTTTATTCCTTCTATAACTTAATGACGGATTTTACATCTTAACGACGATTTTAGCGGCAATTTATTACTTAGTGACTGAATTAGCGACAATTTTAGCAACGTTTTAGTATTTGAGACCAAAAGTGTGGAAGAAATATTTTAAGAGGATCAATCTTTGAAGAAAATATTTTAAGGGGTTAAAAATGAAATTGAGATATTTAAGAGAACTACAAGCATATTTAACCCTTTTTATTTTTATTTTTATTTTTTCTTATAATATTTTCTCAATCACTTATTATTTTATTATATTTATTTACTTATTTTTCTTTAATAAATAATTTAAAATATTATTGACAAAATCTATAATTAATTTTCGTATTCAATTTTAAAAAATGAAAAAAATAAAAATAAAATAACATCAAATTTTTCTGTTATTACTACAAATAAAAAGAATCTGAAGTAGTAGTTTTTTAGATCCACTGAAATAGTGAAATTAAAATAGCTTTTATGTGTGCTATTACAATTTTGAAATGTGGTCAACTAAGGTGGTCTACTCTAAAACTTGGGTACAGACAAACAAAAAGAATCATTACTATTTATTTTTCATTTACTAAATGTGTAGAATAGAAGTTAAAAAGACTTATAAAATAAAAGCTAAAAAGATAATCATATCAACAACAGCAAAATAATTATTAAAAAAAACATGAATAATTATTCCATCTAATCCCTATTATATAAAATAGAGTTCTATGAACTATAAATACTTTTGATTTGCTTATTTTTAAACAAAAAATACATTTTAAATAAGATAAAGATGAATATGGTGAGAAGTTAACCTATCCTACACTAAACTTATTCAAACAAAAAATATTAGTATAAAATGTAATAAATATTTTTGAAATGCACCATGTTACAATAAGTAAAAAAAACTGTATAATCTTTAATTACGGTATTTCATTATATACTAATATATCAAATCAATAGTGTTAAAATAATCCGAATCTAACCAATCTTTCACAAATGCCATCCTACTTCAAGAAAAAAAGAAGTGTACATGTGAACAATTTACATTTTATGAGATCATAAAACGGTCCCCCATTTAATAGTTAAATAATTAAAATAAATAAAAGTTGAAAACTATGCATACTTTATCTTTCAGGACAAACAACAAAACACAAGTTTTCAATTGTATTGACTACAACTAAAAATCTAGCTGTAGTTAATGAAACTTGTATGCAACGTAATACTTTAGATTCATACCGCAAAAGGAAGGCAGAGTACATTCAGAGAAATATTTACATAGGAACACACAGAGAGAAATACTTACATATGAACAATATAATTATATTATTAGAAATAATTAATAAAAAGAAAAAAAATTAAATTTATTATAAATATAATTTCGTTTTTAATTAGAATCGTGATTATTAAACAAGAGAGAAAAAAAATTTAATTAATAAAAAAATTATGATTGATTGTTTCTAAAGATATGTGTTATGTTTTTTTCTATACAGATATTTGTGGTACATTCAAGTCTAGCATCTAGATAATAGTAACATCTTTTACACACAAAGGGCAACCATGTATATGGAATTTGACCATAAAAATTATTCATACATGGGAGTTTTATTCTAGCAATCACAATAGTGATACTTAAAAATTGTTCAAAATATCATAGATAGACTTTATGATAATCTAAAATAAAAACTCAATTCATTTATCTTCGCGACTCAAACAATGGCCTAAAAGATATATTAATGTATAGAATATAGGATCATTAGAAAGAGATGGAAGTTGAATATCGTTGAAAATGAATGGACTGTTAGAGAATTGGAAAGGATTGTTAGTTTTAAGTTGATATTTGTCGCACCTCGAAAAATCACGGAGATATTTCGGAAATACGACCCTCGCGCGAAAGGCGCGGAATTGCGGTTCGACAGAGTCGCCACCGAACTTTATTTTTCCCGAATAAACGGGAGAGGAAAATATCGAGAAAACCTCTTAAAAACGAAAGGATTGGAACAGGGCTGTCGCAACCAAGTTCCGGGTTCGGGAGTCGGTTACGTGAGGGGAAGGTATTAGCACCCCTCACGTCCGTCGTACTCGACGGGAACCTCCTAAGGTAATTGTGGGGAGTGTTGTTTAGGTTTACTTGTTTTCTTCTCGTTACTAAAGGTAGAATTGGTAGGTTTTAAAAGGTTTAAAGACGCAAGGGAGAGATGGGTGGTTAGAAGATAGGGTGCTCGCCAAGGATTGGGGCCCTTGTGCCTACGTATGCTCATTCGGACGAGAATGAGAAATCAGAGCGTCGTAGTTCGACTACGGGAAAGGATGGGAGAAAACGGAAGATGGATAGAAGTGTGCTCGCCAAGATCATCGCAATCTTGTGCCTACGTATCTTATATTCAAGAATGAATAAAGAATCAGAGCGTCCGTAGTTCGTGGTAACAACCACGAGAAGATGAGGTTGAATGGGTTGGAAGTTTGAGAAAAAAGACGAAAGAGTGACTGACAAACAACCTAAGGGCGTGCCTCAAGAGCTTGTCATTCAAGAATTCAGGGAATGCGAGATCCCAAGAACTCAGTTCTTTCGGAAATTGGGTTGAATGAGTCGAAGATAAGAGTTGGATATTTTGAAAACGAAAGAATGAACTAATAACAACTCGGGGGCGCGCCCAAGAGTTACTCGTTCGAATATTCAAAGAATGCTAGATTATAAGAATATCCCTCTTTCGTAAGTTTAAAAAAATGTGTTTGTGAAAGGATCGAATCGAAGAATGGCATGCGAGGCCAAAAGGGAATTGTTTTGAACTGGTTCGACGACGTGTCGAAGATTTGATTGAAGATGGAACCGGCTTGACGACGTGTCAAGGGTTAAGGGTGTGAGAAACGATATTAGTCCCTGAGGGTGCTCCTAATATCGAGACCACGAGGAATTGTGAAAGAAATGGGTTGGTTTGCGAATGCCTACGAGCATTCGACTCAGGAGAATATTGAGAATGATTGAGTTTGAAAAAAGTCGAAAGGTTGAGTGAATAACAACCCAAAGGGCGTGCCTCGAGAGCTATTCACTCGAAAATTCAAAGAATGCTAGACTCCAAGAACCTCCTTCTTTCGAAGTGTGAATTGAAAAAGATATTTGAAAAAGGTCGAAAGATTGAATGAATAATAACTCAAAGGGCGTGCCTCGAGAATCATTCACTCGAAAATTCAAGGAATGCTAGACTCCAAGAACCTTCTTTTTTCGAAGTTTGATCGGAAAAATGTTTGAAAAAGATTTGAGGTGAAATGAGGTATGAAAATAGTTTAAGGTACGAGATGTGAGGACGTGAGATTGGATTTGAAAATGAGAGAAATGACAATTATTTGATAAATGAGACGCGGGCCTCACAACCAATTAATTGGGGCATTATCGAAATGCTAGATCTCGACGACACCTTTTTCATTTGGAGAATATTTGAATGAACAAAGGAAATATCACAAAGAATGCTAAATTCTCATGACATTTCTTTGTTAGAAAAAATATAATTTTTGAAAATGAGAGGTCGAATAATACACTACTTAAGGTGTACACCTTAGTAATGACTATTCAAAAAATTCAAGAAGTGCTAGACTTCAAGAATTTAGTTTCTCACTATTTGATTTTAAAAAAATAATTTAGTAATAAAAATTAAATTGAGTAAGGACCAAAATTATTTATAAATGAATTTGACAAGAAGGTATTTTAATAAGACCATTTTTTTAAAATAAGAATTGAAAAATAATATTTTGAAGATAGATTTGAAAATTTAGTAAATAAAGAAAATAAATTAAAACAAAAATCTAAAACAAAAGGTTTTGAAAATAATTTACAAGATGGTAAAACAATAGGAGGCATCAGTATCCAGTGGGGGGGTACACATGAACATCCCCATGATGGGCCCTAAGGCCCAATCTCAAACAGCAGCAAAAAAACAAACAAAGGGTGTAATAACAATAATAAAAAAAACGGGGGTTTAGATCCAAATGGAACGGGTGGGCCAACGGCCCAATAAACCCAAATCGGACTCAACATCTTCTGAATCAAAACAAAAGAACTGAACCCTAGCACCCTTTCCTGTTCACCGCCGCCGCCATACTCTCTCAGCCTCTCTCCGTTCATGCTCTTCTGAAACACCACCATTAACAATGTTTAATAAAGATTAAAATCACGCTTTGACGTT